GCAAATTAACATAATGTTTTTGTTTTGGCATTGGGGGATGTGGCTTGTGTGATTGCTTTCTGATATAATCCCAAGGTGGCAGACCACTGCTTTTTTTCTCTAATTGTTTGTTTATCATCAATTCATCATGCAACTGAGACTGGTCTCTCAGTCTGGCAAATCCATGCTTTCATGGCCTTGGTGACAGCTGTGTCTTTGGTCCCCATAACTGGAGCTTATTTATACAGTGGCAAGGCAAAACAAGTATTGAAATTATGACTTGTTTACTAATTCCTAATTAAATTAGGAGGAATTGAATTGAAGAGGAGTTGGATTGAAGAAAATTAGATTCCGAATTCTTATTTAAGTTGTTTACTAAACTATATGTATTGAGGGGAGTTAGATTCTGGATTCCTATTGAAGTTGTTTACTAAATTATATGGAATTGGAGTATGAGTAGTACTAATTACTAAATGTCTTTATTGTTGGGTTAAAGTAAATGGCAAATTTTAAAATTTTAAAATTGTGTGGGGATATAATGGGTAAAAAACATGAATTCTTAATAGGTTAGTTCTCGATGAATTAGAATTCCACCTCCCATCTAAGAATTAAATTTCTCCAAAATCAAGAGTTCAATTACTAATTTTGTGTGTGCCCCCACTTACTTTTTAATTCCTTAATGTAAAGTAAACATAGGAATCCTCCATAGGTAAAATTCAATTCCTTATGAAAATTCCAATTCCTAATTAGTAAATACACCATTTTATTGTAATTCACGATTTTCTCTATGTTATTAATACATGAATATTTGAATTATTCTGATTACTTATTTCCTCACCTGTACTAACTCATAACATAAGGAATCAATAATTATATACGTTTTATATTAAAATTTACAGTCTAATACCTGAAAACCCATAAATTAGAATAATAATTAGGAGGAAAGAGTTGATTTCATACTCAGTCCTTCTCTCCTCTATTCCTAATATTTTGATTCATTATTTCTATTGAAAGTAACTAATTAAGCAAGCATGCCATTTAAGTAAAAAGAAGATGAGAGTCAGAAATCTATTATCTCATCAAAAGTGTGAAAGTATACATAAGATGCACTCAAACTCACTAGGTGATGCATAAAGTTAACAAATTGAATTTTAGTGGTGGCAACTTGAATACACGCGGCGATAATCTAACTCGAATTGAGAATAACATGACACTACTTGACAAGTCTGCAAATAACATGACACCACTTGACACGAACTCTCATATAACATGGATGACAAGTTAATTTCAAACATAAATTCTTTAATTTTGACACGATTAATTAAACAAGTGAAATTAGAATTGACATGTTCTAAGTGACAGAAAAACACTATCCACTTACAATGTAAATAAGAATTTAAACTAACCATAAATTATCTAAAAAGTTGTTGGATAATGATTGCCTAAATTCCCCGCCTTCTATGTCAAATTAAACAATACCAAAGCTAGTCACAAACTACTATTTGAGGTTAAGGCCAACCAGTCCGGGACACGTGGACACTGTTGCCATCGGAAACTGTAAACATGCAATGCAATAGGACTGTAGCACCCACCACCACCATCACCATCATCATCATCAATCATCCATTCAAACTAAGTGCATGCGTGTCGAGCTCTCAGGCGTGTCGCTGATGTCACGGTGACGTGGCATAGAAGAACAAAGATCTTCGTACACATGTAAAGACTACGTAAATCACGGAAAAAACCCAACAGGGCCTCCTTGTAAAGCGAAAATGGGAGAGGGGAGATATGAGATACGAGGTTGGTTGGGAATGAAGCAGGTTCAGAAGTTTCTACAGAGAACAGTGAAAGCGAATCTAAAGAGTAAAACTCTACAAGGAGTGGTCAAAGATTCAATCTGGACGGTCTGATCTGATCTGATTGAGATTCAGATTCAGATTGGACGGCCAAAAGGATCCTCTTGTCTTTGCCTTGGGGTACAAACCACGATAGTTGCTCCACAAGTCCCCAGCCCACATACAAACTCAAACCAAACTGATACAGTAAAATTTATTGTAATTTGGAGAAGAGAAAGATCTGTGAGTGTCAAATGCATCACATCAGTTTCAATTGTTATTGTATCTTCATGGAAAGAAAACAAATCAGAGATAGAATGATATTAATAGTTGTGACAAGATCATATACGTGGAAAGAAAAAAACGATAATTTGGGCACAAACATTATAGTGTTATACATACAATTTATAAGTTTTTTTTTTTTAATTGCAATGATGAGGGGATTCCCCATCTTGAAGCACAAGTCAAGTGCACGCTTCGTGATTTTCTCAACAATCCAATCCCAGATGAACTCAGTGAGTTCATTTCATTGGAACTGGGTGATGTACGTTGTTAATGAATTTGCTCTAGTCTAGGGGTTCAGCTCAACATATTTTGAATTAATGTGGAGGGTTTGCTATTGGTTATCTCATTTCATGTTCAGCAAAACTTGGGCTGCCAGCCATGCCACAGCTAGTGGAGATCATCAACCTCTCAAATGCAAGTTTGTTTGAGCCGCACTCTTCCCACCAAAGGAGTTCAATATTGGATTGGATGTGATGCGTCCAGCCTCCAGGCATTGGCATCACAATAAGAACAGGGTACCAAAGAGGTTTGCGTTTGATGCCTCTAACTAGATAGAGAGTCTCGGAGTCAAATACTATCCAATATACATAGAACATGTGAGAATATTGTCCAATACACATAAAACACAAAAATAAAATAAATCCACATAAAACACGTGGTGTGCCTCCAATATGCAAAAATTACTCCGCATTTTGAGCCCAACAGACCTAAACGCCATTCAATGAGCTTGGTTCATTGCAACCCAATCTTGTCTTTGGGTTTAAAAATCTGGGCTCAATTCATTTTATTCCTTTTTCTAGCCATTAAAGTGGCCCAAGTCAATTTTGGCCCAAACACATTCAAGCTGGATCAAGTAATTGGATTGGGTAGCTATTTCTACTTGTGCACAGGGGAACAATATAGCTATATTGGGTCCAGATTTTTCTGCAGCTTCAATTTTCACACCAAGAAATATGGATGGGTATTTAGGGGTTTTCATCACCAACAAGCATGAGATCTCATAACCAAGAGGTTTGTGTTTGATTGATCAAAGGTTGAGGTTTTGAGATGAAGATATGACCAATGCATCAAGTTGTCAAAAACCCAAAAACAAACATAAAAAGTTGAGGCCTTGTCTGCTTTGTTATGCGAAATCTTTGTGTTGTCAAGACCTAGAGAGTAGCACCTCAAACGTTGCACGCAGTTGGTTATATTATGGATCTGCGTTCAAGCAGAGTTGAAGCCACCTCTGCCTCATAATGCGAAGAAAGACAAACGGCTTGAGTTGTGTCCATTAATTGAAGAGAAAATATATACATAGGGTTTAAACATTGGAGAACTTGCACCCACTTCTTCCCTTCTTCTTCTTCTTCTTCTTCAACCCACAAACAACCTTTGAGAATGCCATAAATAAATTTTACCTTTGAGAATGCCATAAATAAATTTTAAAAAACAAATTATGAAAGAACGAAAAAAAAATTACATACCAAGTTGCTAGTTTCCCCTGAGTTGGTTTCGTTTGCGTGCCAACCGTAGCAGCACAACAGCCACAAGGATGATATAAAAGATACTACAGATTAGACAAAACGGAAGCATCTCAAGCCACATGGAATATGGAAGTATGGCATGCATTTGAAACCAATAAGTTACCCACATGAAGATTAGTACCAAAATGGTGAAAACTTTTGGAAGACTGTATTGAATAACTAGAAGCTTCCACAATCTAATGTACATCCCTAGCAATGGATTGTTGAATGGATAATCACCACCATTCACTGCAGAGACACAGCCGAAAGCTAGCCCTAGCGCGACTATGACGGTAAGCACGAGGGAGCTCTTCTGTTCTTGGTTGGCGTTGTCCATAGTGACTGAGGAGAAGTGAGAGTTGACAACTTGACAAGGAAGGAAGAGGAAGGAAAACAAAAAAGGACGAGGCAGAGAAAGAAAGTAGCTAGCTAGCTAGGAAACCTAGAGGAAGAGGAAACAAAATATGAAAATAATGAACAGGAATATTGTGGGTGGATGGGGGCTTGCTTTATGTAGAGTATACCTCTCTCTCTCTCTCTCTCTCTCTCTCTCTAAAACCTTTGTGTGAGTCTCGGTTGAGGAATGCACAGAGGATTGGCCGGGAAGGAGAATGGAAATGGGTGGTTGTGACATTGATGATAATCAATTAACTTCAAACACAGAAAGGGATTATTAAAGCTTGTGGGGAGTTACGAGGGGCAACCACCAAGGGTTTAAAAGGCTGAGCGAGTTATTGGGTTCATTATAAAGTTGCCCAGAAGATTAAAAGGCCTACCCAAGTGAAGTGATGATGGACGTATGGAATGAAATGGAAGCTCATATGTAATAACTAGAAGCCTCCACCATATCATCAACATCCCTGCCCAACAAGAATAGAGCAATAGTTTGTCAAATGGATAATCAACAGCATTCACTGTACATGTACGTAATGCGCAAAAGGACATGGCCTAAACCCTATCAAGATTGGGAGGAGTCAAAGTAGACGAGGAAGGAAGATGAAGGAAAGCAAAAAGGAGGAAGGAAGAGAGTAGCTGCTAGCTTGCTAGGAAACCTAGAGGAAGAGGAAGAGTAAACAAAATATGAGAAATAATGAATAGGGAATCTTGCTTGCTTTATGATAGAGTTTACCTCTCTCTCTCTCTCTCTCTCTCTCTCTCTCTCTCGGTTGAGGAATGAATGCACCAGTTATGGCAGAGGATTGGCGGGAAAGGAGAATGGAAATGCATCAAGTTGAGGTTTTGAGATCATGAGATCGTAATAACCAAGAGGTTTGTGTTTGATGGATCAAAGGTTGAGGTTTTGAGTTCAAGATATGAACAAACAAGTTGTCAAAAACCCAAAAACGCCCATAAAAAGTTGAGGCCTTGTCTGCTTTGTTATGAGACAACTTGAAAGTAGCAGCTCAAACGTTGTAGCTATGCAGTTGTTTATAGTATGGATCTGCGTTCAAGGTTGAAGCCACCTCTGCCTCAAAATTATGGAGGTTCACAAACGGCTTTGCGTCCATTAATTGAAGAGAAAATATATACATGGGTTTAAACCGAAGAAGAAAGAACAAAACAAAATGACTAAATAAACATTAAACATTGGAGAACTTGCTCCCACTTCTTCCCTTCTTCTTCTTCATCTTCGACCCACCACCAACCTTGGATACTGCCATAAATAATAAAATAAACATTAAAAAGATTATTGCTTTTAAAAATAAAAATTAAAAAAAATAAGAAAGAGAGAAAAAAAAATTACATACCTAGTTCCCCCTGAGTTGGTTTCATATGCGTACCAACCGTAGCCTATTACCCACTTGGATGAACAAAATGAGATTATAGGCTAGACACATCGGAAGCCAAATGGGATATGGAAGTATGGCACGCAATAGCACCAACCAATAAGCTGCCCACACGATGAATAGGCTTCCCCAAGTGATGAAAAGGTATGGAAATGGAAGATTATAGCCCCCCCAAAGGATCGAGATAGAGTGGCTTAGCTAGCTAGCTAGCTAGGAAACCTAGAGGAAGAGGAACAGTAAACAAAACATGAGAAATATAATGAACAGGAAACCTTCCTTTATATTAGAGGTTAACCCTCTCTCTCTCTCTCTCTCTCTCTCTCTCTCTCTCTCTCTAAAACCTTTCAATTAACTCTCTCTCTCTCTCAAGGGATTAAAGCTTGGGGGGTAGGGTAGGTGTCTTTATCTACCACAAGTTATAATGAGGGGCAACCACCAAGAGGTGGAAAGGCTGAGAGGGTTATTGGGTTTACAAGTGTGCTATTCACTTTTGCAGAAAATCTAGGTCAAGGGTTGGTGCTGGAGTGAAACCTCGGACGACTGTGTATCCTTTTCCAGTTTTATTTTTTATGACATACATTTTAGGATATGCTCGTTGCTATTGGTAGAGTTTATTGCAAATTTGAGTAGTTGATCATTATTTGTTTTGAATTTCAAATTGATAGGCCAGTGTTTTCCCTTCGTTTATATCAAATTGTCAAATTTTATAATTGTTATGATTTGAAATTAACTTGTTCAAAAGGCAAGACGTGTTCTTGCTCCCTCAAATTCTTGGTCCCTATGTTTTTGTTAGAAACTAATTTACCTGTATATTTTTACCTCTAGGTACAGTATTGAACTTGTAAATTTTGGTAACTTAATTTACAACATATAAATATAGGTAAATTAATGTGTAAATTAGTGTAATTTAGAATATTGTTTGTAAAAAATAAAACACATACGGTTGCCCTGAAACATGTACCACAAAATCATAACTAAGCAATATTTTCAACACACGAACACAATTTTATGCAAATTTGACCATTTGATCATTAATTGTTTAAATTTCAAATTTATGAGTGATTCTTTTCCCTTAATTTATTTTCATAATTCTTTCGATTTGAAATTAGTTTGTTCAATCCTGCTCCCATCCCTCCCACCAAATTGTTCATCGCATGAGAAGCCATTGACACAATAAGGCTGGAGGAGACTCTGAATGCTAATATATGTCCATGTATATAAATCTTCCCCTGCTATGCTAATATGAATGAAAATGCCTAGACCTTGAACGTTAATCAATACAATACCTTTCTCTTTCATATGTTAGCAGTTAAATAACACATAACCGTCGTCACTTCCACTGAGGCCACTTGGTTGTTTCTGTGGATCCTTTCCTAAAATTTGAAAAACCAGAAGTATCTGCAGCATCATGCCATATCATTTCCATCTGGAGGAAGCAAAGGAGAATAGTTGTCGGACGTTAATTATATTAGAAGAAAAGGAAAGAAAAGATGCTGTGAGTTCATGTGCATAGGATTCAAAATGTAACACAAAGAAAGTAATAACAGAGAAAAACATACATCTCCAACAATCACTGTGTCACCTTCCTTGACACCAAGTTTTATAAGAGACTTGTTCACACCACAAGCCTCCAGAACATGTTGGAACCTTCTCCCAGAATCCACATATCTGTTCGAACACATTCATTATAATTTGGTCATTAGTATTGGACCAACAGAAAGAAAGATGTCAGTTATTCCAAAACAGATACAATGAGGCATTGGCATTGCGATCAATTTGGAGAACATTCAATGATGTAAGATGCGACTGACTGCAGATTATAGCAGTAATTTGATGATACAATGTGTGTGGGTCCCAATGATAATAAAACAAGGGTGCAATTTAGAGCCGTGTTAAAGGCAATGCACATGTTTTTTTTTTTAAGAAAAAAAATATGAAAAACAAAAATGTATTGAAACCATTAATAAGCTATTCAGGTTCAGGAAAATCCTTTACTTGGAGTACTATATCAACACAAAGCAATTGAAGAGACCGATAGAGACAATAATTTTACATCATGAATTGAATTACGCACAGAAAACAACTAAAAACAGGGAATGTCCCAACCAGAAAAGTAAACCCCAAAATTGAGAGGGAAAAAAAAAAAAAAAAAAACTCTCAGTGATAGAGTGGCTAAATTGGTCTGCATCAATTCATCAATCCGTATTCATTAGATATTTTCTACCAAACTACATCAAAAGAAGAGGTGGATATTGCTTCACTCTATTTACTAGTGAGATTGTCCGCCTCACACCACTGAGCAATCCCCTTACCCTACTCTATTCTTTCACGAAGAGTGAGGCAACAAAATGAAAAGACTTTTATCAGTTACTAGAATCATAAGAATTATATGCATAATAATGCATCTTCATTGCATACCGTCAATGTGCATTTAGAAACTAAAGCTTTTCTTAATGATACAAATGTGATATCATAACAGGTCAGACTTAAAAATTCAAGAAAGCATAAGATGGAAAATCATGGAGGCGACGATAAAGATTTGTCAACCTACCGCCAATTTGTCATCTGAACAAACCGTTGCAAACCAGATCCCACAACATGCCAAGTATTGGTAGTGCTGTCATGAGTGATCTCAAACTCATTAATAGACGCAGTTTGCTGCTTCCGCACCATCTCAGCTACATGATTTAAATTGACCGGATCTTCTGTACTTCAAAGGAGACTTGTCAACATGGTGACAAAATAACATATGGAGTTAAAACTTATCTATCCTATAGAACAAAACCCGAAAAAGAATATATGTATGTCTAAAAATTGTCAGAAATTCTCAGGGGAATGTAGAAATAATTTATTTAAAATAAGAAATTTTATAAAAAAAAACTTTGACCTGTTAACTTGTCCTCGGCCACTTTATTTTCTCGTAGAAGCTGGTAAGCAGCGGAGGACACTTCATGAGTTCCCTCTCTTTTCACTGCACTCATGCAAAAAACTTCAATCCCACGAGCTTCTAAACTTTTTTTGAATGATGGCCAGTTTTCATATGCATCTGGAAGGTCCATTTTATTGAAAGCAACAACATAAGGCTTTTCAGCAATTTCAGGACTAAACAGTTCCAACTCTAGACGGACTGCATCAAATTCGAATTCTGGCTGTTGTGATGAGCCATCAACAACATGTATCTGAGATTTCCAGAAAGATGAAGTTCATATCAATATTCAACATTGTTAATACAAGGCAAATAATAATGATGGTGATGATAAGGAATTAAATAAAACTTAAATAACAAAATTTAAAATAGTAATTAGAGAATAAATATGGAGTTCTTTTGTTTTCCCTAGCCAGAGAGAGAAGTAGAACTAAAATTCCAAAATTTAGTCCACTGAATTTTGTATGTATTGTAAAATAGGAAGGAAGGACCCAATATATAATACAAGAAATTGACAAAAATGACAAGAAAAAACACTATATATGTTAGTTGAAAGACAATACTTATTGTGTTTCCACGGGCTCAGACATTAAGATAAGGTAAAGACAGTAAGATGATAAAAATAATCAACTTGTTTTCATCCCTGAGCATAAAAAAGTATTTGTAACTAAGTTTTCAATAACTTGGGAGATGATGGTCACAGCTTATACCAGGGCAGAACACCTCTCAGTGTGCCGTAGAAACTCATGTCCCAAACCAAAACCCCGGTGTGCTCCTTCAAGTAAACCTGGCAGATCTGCTACTACCATTGTAGAATCATAGTCAAAAGAAACCACACCCAGATTAGGAAGTAAAGTTGTGAAGGGATAATTTGCTATTGTTGGCTGAGCAGCACTTATCACACTCAAAAGTGTGCTTTTCCCTGCATTTGGGGCGCCCACTATTCCAATATCTGCAACTAACTTTAGCTCCAGCTCCAACCACCTGATGAAGAATACCATCATTTCATTCATACTGTTCAAGCAGTGAAAGTGATAACACAAAGATAGCAAGTATCTCTAATTTTGACATGGCTGGGAGCAAGGAGAGGCCAATATTGTAAGATATCAGACAACCTCTACCAATTAACTAAGCTAACCCCAACTGTTTCATACCAGCTAATGATTGCCTATTTTTAAAACTCGAAGCCTGCAAGTAGAACAAAGAGAAACACTACATGTCTACAAGAGAACCTCCTTTACACTAACATGAGTAGAGATATCCTGGAAATGCACCTAACTTCTACTTACACCAATATTTGGGTCACACTATCAGTTCTTTTAAATGCTTGGTGCATATCAACATTTACTGCCAGAATAACGTCTCAAATAATTCACAAGTTTTTCACCATTGTTCTACATTTGAATGACTACATGCTAACAGAAAATTCCAACTATCAAAAATCACAATGTAAGAGCCAAACAACATTAATGATAACAACAAGAAGCACAAACTTAAAGCAATGCAATTCGGTTGATTAGAGAACCAAAAGAGCTGAGCTCACATTTCAGGACCCTCTGCACCATTCTCAGCAATCCTTGGCACCTTATTCGTCCCCGACTTAAACGAAGCGTTCCCTCTCCCGCCTCTTCCTCCCGGCAACAACAGTGCACGCTGCCCGGGGTGCAATAACTCCAGAAGCACCCCCTCCTTCCCAGCCTCTCGAACAACAGTCCCAGGAGCTACTTTAATCACGACGTCCTCTCCCTTAGCCCCATTCTGGGACTGCCCTCTTCCATGATCACCTCTCCCTGCCCGAAAATGAACGCTGTTTCGAAATGGCAGAAGTGAATTCATCGAACCCTCTACTTCCATGTACACATTACCTCCTCGCCCACCGTCACCGCCTGAAGGACCGCCCAAAGGCACGAACTTTTCACGCCGCATTGCGACGACGCCGTTCCCTCCGTCCCCTGCCTTCGCGAAGATTTTTGCGCGGTCGAAACACCGCATTACTGCTGGTACTCCCTTCTCCTTCACTTCCCCTTCCTCCAATTTGCCCTCATTATCGGATAAATTCACAGTTTCGCCCTCCTTAAACCCTTGCAATTCACCGTCGTCGTTTTGATAAACACTTTCCAATTTCTCATCACTAAACCCCTCAATATCGCTATCATCATCTTCCTCGTCCAGTTCAGAATCATAAGTCCCCTGAAAGACCTCAAATTGACCATAATTCACCCCCAAATTACCATCTAAGCCCTTTTCTTCATCTTCTTCTTCCTCCTCTTCACTGCTTAAATTATCAATCTCCTTCTCAACTTTAAGCGCGACATTTGATTCGGAGAGCTTGACTTCGGATGAGAACTCAAACGACGATGAATCCAAAGAAGGGAGGGAGAAGTCCTCTCTGGGAGGCAAGCGAGTGTAGGTAGTGGCTTCGACTCCGATGGATGACAACTGTTTGGCGCCAGTTCGAGCCTTCAGCCTATGGCTAGGGTTAGGGTTAGGGCTCCGTACTGTCTGCTTCTTCACCGGAGGTTTGCGAGTTTGTGGGACCCTGGGCCGAGCCATGGCGTACGGACAGAAACTTATGGATATGGTCGCCATTTCCAGGCGCGGCAAAATGAAACTCCAAGTTTTCTTGAGCTGGTAAACTGCTAACGGAGTTTGTCGTTATGCCGCTTATCCCCATCTAGATTACGCTCCAAAACGCAGCGTTTCCGCCTTGGGTTTGTTTTTCCTTTTTTGATGGGTTTTTTTTTGAATTTTTCCCCTTCTTGGTAACATTTAGGTCCTTTCGCAAACGTAGTCTAACCTAGTGGAAAATGTCTCAGGTTCGAACCCTCATGGAGAGTGGGTGCCTCATTCCCTTGTAGTTTAGACTATAGTTTGTATTCGGAAAAAAAAAAAAAGTTAGGTGCTTTCATATACTAAATTTCATTTTCACCCAAAAAAAAACTTAAATTATTTTTGTACCTTTTACTATATTGTATAATATAATATAGTCATTTTTTTAAATCAATTAAAGCATATATAATTTCAATTATGTCAATTTTATACTGCATAAGCCTAAAAATAAATTTGAAAAATAAGAGTGATATATTATATAGTAATCCAACTCTATTTTTTCCCTCGCTCGCAATTTTTCTCATTTTATTATAACTTTTATTGTAAACCAGATGTATCACACATATGATGCGTGTGCATGTGATGGTGGTTCTAAGAGAAAATTTCCAAGTTAAAAGTCTTTAAAGTAGGGAACGATAATCACTATAAAAACCTTAGTTTAGAAATTTGTTGTTAAAATTGTTTGATGAAATAGGGATATAATTTCATATAGGATTTTCAATCGTTTTACCCGTGAATTATGAGCCTTGTAGAAATTAATCCATTATCTAGTTGATTTTTATTTAAATTTATTTATTTACTTTTTAAAGCACTTTCGGTTTTAATTGGTTTGCTCAGGCCTCGAGATCAGCTAATGATCTCATTATTCCCTCTTGATCAAGTTTTTATAAATAAAAAATAAAAAATTCACCTAAATAGACTCAAATGCTCTTAAACTAAAACCTAAATAAACCTAAAAATCAAACCGCTGTTAGATCTTATTAAAAAAAACTATGTTAAATAAAAATTTGAGAGTCTTTAAACGCAGGTTTGAAGAAGTATTGGAGCCCTAGTCAAACTACCTGTGAGTGCAAAGATGTTTGAGCTCCAAGGTATTCTTTTTTCTTTTTTTTTTTGCCCGATTTTAATATAAGTCTTATTTTAAAATAATAATAATGGGCATATTGGCAGAAAATATGGGGATAAATGGACATCTGAAATTGACTTCATAAGAAAATAAACAACTATAATAGTGGGCTTTAGCCCTCCTATCTACCAAAAAAACAACGATAATAGATTTACCTATTACATTGTCTGAATGATGATCCATTACACTTGATTAATCATGTTTTTCTTTTTAGTTTTGGTCAAAATCTGATTGCATATGGCCCTAGTAAGTGCAAATCAAGTTGTTAATAACATAGTCAAATTAGCATGGTAGTGAAGTTTTATAATATGTTTTCTACACTTATCTTACCCCATACTAATATGATTTTCATTATATGCATTATATGAAATCTTGATGTAATTACAAGTATATACATACACACATGATCATAATACCAATTGACATATTTGTATTTGAGTTGCAGTACTTAGTAGATCGTAAATGGTCAGTTCGCTTCAATAGTCTAGGGAATATAAAGCTCTCATTCAAGTTTATCAAGTATATTGTATTGTTTCACGTATGTTCTAAAAATTTAGATACATTTACCCTGTTAATTAAAGGAAACCTTTTTGTACTGTCATCAATAAAACTCTTATTGAAAATGTTCATTTGTGAAAAAAATATATATACGTATGTGTTTACATTGTTTCATCTTTTTTAATTTTATTTTGTGAGACCTAGAGAGTCTTTTGGTTGTCTTTTTTTTTTTTTTTGTTTGAGAAATTTGGGATTGTATTTATAATTCAGACAAAAAAGCCACTAGCCACAAAGAGCCATTACAATAACTGAGCAATCTAACATTAAAATTAAGACAATCTGATGCGCCTTCACTAACGATCACGCATGATCAAAGAAACTCTGGCATAGGCATCCCAACTAAGATTGCAAACACAAAACAACCAAAAGAGATGAACCTTTTGCTTTTTAAGTTTATATGGGTTTTAGTCTTGAGGGCATTTGAGTCTATTTATGTGAGTTTTTTTAGAAAGTGAGAGTAAATTTTGGCTATCTTTTATAAAAACTCATCATGTCTTGATCTCCTTGAACAGCCAAGCAGGGTTAGCAACAAAACAATCTCGCTTTCCCTTTCCGGAAGTCAAAAATTGCATCAGCAGGTCATGATATGCCAATGAGTGGCTTTGTAGATGACCTTGATTCTTCTTTGGCTCGACATGGAAACATGGGTTCAGATCTCTCCATCATCTCACTTGATGCTCTGATTCAATTTAATTGTAAATCCTCCGACATGATTTCAGGTTGTTTCACGGATGGTGATTTGGTTTCATTAGATATGCAACTAAGCTTTAGTTTTTATGTTACCCACATATTTCAGTCACATAAGGTTTGAAGATTATGGTTTTTCGTTTAGTTTTTAGTTTTTATTTTTATTTTTGAATTAGAGTTTAACACTGTTAGATTGGAGTTGAGTAAAATAACGTCTCAAGGAGAGAGCAGCTGGGTTACAAGTGAAGAAAGGTAAATCCGGAAATATGTTATTAAAGTATTATTTCTCTTTCATAATAATGTTATCAGAAAAATAAAAAATAAAGAGTTAACTATGGTTATACTTATGAACATATGTCAAGTATTAAGAATGATGATGAAGGTAGACACTGAGTTAAAGTAGCGCGCAAAATGTTATCCTTAATAATATGGACAAATATACACAAAATGTGTGAATGTGTACATTGTGTATGATGTTATTGTTAATTAAATTAGATCGAATCTTAAACACCCTATTTTGTTTGCCTAATCCCGGTTTCGTGGACACTAAGTTACTCTCTGGTTGAAATGATAAAAAGACAGCAAATTTTAGTAGGGCAACCTAAAATCTTTGTGGACCCCTTCCCCAAATTATAGAGGGGGCAATGACTTTTGTGGGTCAGATAGCAGCTAGGAATCCGTTGTGTTATGTTTGGCTTCATATGAGAGTGTGTCATAGGACAATCACTAATAATTTGATCGATCATATATGTGTCCAACTATTTATGGCATATTTACTTACCACATGAATGGAGGAAATTATGAATTGGGAAGTTTAGTGAATTAAGGAATTAGAATCAGATTAACTATTCCCTTAGTTTATTACTAATTTTAATGTGGTTACCGCATAATTTTTAACCGAGTGAAAAATGTTTAGTTTCGGAAAAACAAGTCGGAAATTGAAATTGTTCTAATACCCATGTGTTAGTAAACACAAGAAAAACAAGAATTGGAATCATTCCAGTACTATTCCGGATAAGTAGTCATTTCAGTGGGTTGATGTGAAATTTGAATGATCCAAAAGGTTATGAGACAATGTTTTGAAAGGGTACCAAATGGGGGTCACCAATCAAAGATCATATGTGGTGTCATTTCAACTCAACACTAAAATGTGAGAAGCGGGTTTTGTAAAATTGGGTGGAATGGCCCCTACAAATTACAAAGCCATTCTTGTGGTCTTCCTGCCATGAACAAGAGACCACCAGATAGGCATGTCCATAGTACTAAGTAGCAGCTGGTATGCATCATCTTTATTTTGCTGGTATATTCTGGTCGGTAAACAGATTGGCAAGTGCATATTTTAAGGTTCTATTTCTGATGTTTAAACTTGAGACTTGAAACTCATGACTTTGATGTAATGTGGAGAAAGTGGATTAATAAAACATGGGATGGGACATAAACAGCTCTGGTAAACCTAGACCTAGTACGAGATATGGCGGAGTTACGATTTTTAGATTGCGGGTGCCAAAATTTAAAACTTAACTATAAATGACTTTATCATCTTAAATGGGGCGGAGCGGCCAACATTAGTTTAGTTGTGAAATTTACTTATAATATTTTTTTCCCTAAGTGTTAGAGGGGATTGTAAAATGGCTGGCCTGCTTTTAGCTCCGTCCCTGTATATTAACTCTCACTTATAAACCGGCTTTGTGTAGTTCCAGTTTTATGTTCTTTTTTTTTTTTTGGTACTTACAAATTGGGAATATGTATATGGATTGATTGAGATGATTGTTTGAATCAAGTATTTGGAGGTTTTACATTTGGTTTGCTACATTTATCCAACTGTTAGATAACTGGTTTGAATTGAATCCTGAAGCTCCATGCATTTATTTTGAATGTAAAATGGAAACTCAAATTTACAGCAGTTTAGGTCTTGCATTACAAATCGTTCTAGCCAAGCTATAAGATGATGTTTTTGTTGGTGTGGTTAGAGCTTGAGCTTTGCCCAAGCTCATGTTCAAGTGAATAGTACACTCCCGAGAGCGAATGTATCAGTACCCTCCCCCATCACTGTTGTCATTGCCATTTCTTTCTCTTTAATTCTCTCAAGCTCAACCACAACCATCTCCATCTTGGGCCTTCTTCTTCCTGGAAAACTCATGCATTGCAGTGTCAGCCTGATCAAGTCCTTCATTCCCTCTCCAGTGAAGCTTCCTACTAGCCGCCTGTCCACCAGAGTATTTGAACTCAGCCGTGGTTCCACCTTCACACAGTCAGAAAAATCGATAGAGAAGACGAAGAATTGATAGCCCCTAACTAGCGCAAAATTATATGACCAAAGGGAGATTCGATCACACCGGTGAGTCTTGTGTTAGCCCCTACTCGTACAAGAGATGTGATCAGTAATGTAGTCGGTAAATGGGGCACAAATACTTTCATTTTATTGATGACTTTTACTTAAAGTTCTCCTTAAACTACCTAGTAATTAATATCCACAATGCATCTTTTAGCAAGGCATTGAAGGAGAAAAGAATATTTTGGTCATACCCATTGAAACAAGCTTTCATTTGATCCCAAGGAGCCAATGTCCAAAGCCTCCTGTCCAGTTAGAAGCTCCAAAAGAAAAACCCCAAAGCTGTACACATCACTCATTTCAGACGCAACCCCAGATGCTCCAACCCTATAATTCATTGGTATA